AATGAGAAAATTGATGAGAAAATTGTAACTGGGAGGAAAAAAAAGAATGTTACAAATATTTAGAGTTTATTTGAGTATGTAAAGACTTTGCTGACATGTGTTCTCATAAGACAGAAGAGGTCAGATATGAACAGGTGTCTAATTTAATCAACAACACTAGACTCTAGGGCCTCTTGGATAACTTCAATATATTCGTCTTCTTAGTTTTTCTGTGAGCAGAAGGATTGTTTTACTGGCTTTTTCTTTGGAAATATCTGCTAGTACAATCAAGTATTAAATCTTGCTACAGCTCAAATGAAGAGTTTATGTTAGATAGTAAGGTCAGATTGCTTCTTTCCCTTTCTATCCCCCTTCGGTAAAAGACCTTTCTTTAAGAATATTGCTTATGTCACTTTTGTGAGAGAGATTTACATTGCTGGGCTGCCTGAATTCTAGGCTGAGAATTGGCTTCCAGACAACTATCCTACTGTACTTCATCATAAGCCTCTACGAGCAATAATTAGTAGTACACATCTTGTCTTTAGCTAGGAGAGCAGATTTCCCCCTTTCAGATCTGGAATGCTAGGTTGGTAGGTCAGCTGGCACTTCTGAGCTGGAAACTGGGCATGTCATTTCGGCTAAGTGCTAAGCCCTCATTACTCAGGGCCTGGATTCCTAATTCACTTTTGACCTTGATTCTGAGCGATGTATACAGTATCATTTTTCAGCCAAGCTCGGTTCACAATTCTAGCGCAAGCTTTTTATAAACTGCTTCCCATTCTTGTTTCCTCCTTGAAGACCATAGCTGAACATTCAGAGATCAAAGATTTTTACGTATGCATGTTGGAATAATGAACGTCTATATAAAGAGTAGTATATTCATAAATTTCCATCTATTCCCTGTCATGTGCACCTGTTTGTACTCTCTCTCTACGGGTGGATATATGTAACTCATAGTGATATATAATACGTCTAAAGATATCTAAATTAAAAATTAAGGATTCGCATGTATTATTCATTTTGTATGCAATAGGGAAAATCTTACTCACTACTCAGTAGGGGTGGTTTTTCTGATTTTGTGTTTTGTTATTTTTTTTCCTCCAGCTTCATTAGTTTATAATAATGGAAAGATTTCTTTTATATTGACTGAAAATAGATTAACACTTTCCCTATAAAATTTTCCATCATCACAGTAAGGACAGTATAGTCAAGTATTGCACATACAGATATGTACATATTTCCTGTTGACTTCACTGAGAAGTAAAGAAATTTAAACTTTCAAAAACAGCGTTTAATAACTGGACACTGGTAAACCATTTTGGCTGTAATTTATGCATTTTTTTGTCATTGGGGATTTTGGGGGTTGGGTTTTTTGATGGGTTTGTTTTTTTTTTTTTTTTCTTCATATTAGTGAATGGAGAGTTTGAGTTTTGTATTCTTTGTTTTAAGCCTGACACAGCTGAGAAAGACCAGAGCACAGACAGAGTTCAGGCATATACATTTGTTTTCTGGTATGGTTTGAAGCGCAAC